ATCTTCTTTCAACTGATTAGGGAGTGTAAAGATTTTTTCCCTGCTAGGTAAGGACATTTTTTGCCTCCCACTTTGACCTGATAGGACCCATGGTTTCAAAAAGAATCCCCCAGCTTGTAAGATCTCTTCCACCTTCTTAGTGTGCTTTTGCAAAAGTTCTGGGTCATTGTCAGATGTTAAGATGTCATCAACATAACAGTCTTCTTCCAGGATCCTCCGCTCCTCTTTACAGCTGTTAAATATGGGCAGTTTTGCTGTCTCTCGCATTGCTACTTGGGCAATACATCCAGCAGGTCGATCCCCAATGTTAACTCTGGTAATGGCAAACTCACCGATCTCCTCTTCTGAGCTGTCTCTCCAGAGGAACCTGTGTAGATGTCTCTCCAGGTCCTCAAGCCACACAGAGTTATACATCTTTTTAATGTCTCCCAAGGCAGCATGCAGTCCCCTTCTGAACCTGAGTAGAACAGCCCGAATAGGATTTAAAACATCAGGACCTTTCAGCAGAATATCATTCATACTTAGACCTTCAAATCTTTGACTGCTGTTCCATACTAAACGCACAGGAGTGGTCACAGAATGAGGATTTGGTGCCACCTGGTGGTTTACATACCATACTGGTCCTTTCCAGTTGTTTAGGGTGGCTTCTGTTAGCTTTATTGCTGCTTTCCTCTCCACCATTTCATGCACCTGGTTTGCATAGACAGTTTGCCATTCAGGCTCTTTATTTAATCGTCTTTCTGTTCTTAAGAAAGTTGATTCAACACTTTTCCTGTTATTGGGAAGACAAGTGGGTTCTACAATCCAAGGATACTTTGCATCCCAGTGGGGAGCATCACTGTGGTCATCTGCTTGCACATAGGTAAGACCTTGTTTAATTATTTCAAGTTCTTTCTCCTCCATTAATGTCATATCTTTTCCACCTGGTTGACATGTCCCACAGCGACATCCACCACACTTTGGTTCACAAGCTGTTCCTATGCTCTCCCACTTCCACCAATCAATGAACTCTTTATTGGTAGTTGTACTTTTGCTTTCTGCTTTAACTTCTTTGAAACTGCAGACTTCTTCATACTTTACAGCAGCAGTGCGCATAGAACGAGCAAAGTGTGTCTCTGACCTGTGTGCTGCCACGTCGACATCTTCACAAAGGTCCGGATGAGCTCCTCCCACGGCCATGCCTAGTGGACTGTTCCACAGGACCAGGTCTCCAACAACCTTGACTCTTTGAGGGGCCAGTCTGCCTTCTCTGTGACTTATTAGCAGCTCAATGGTATCTGGTCTTTTGAGGTCTTCCAGGTCAACATCTGGGAAAAACTTTTGCAGCTGCAGTGGTTGAATGACTTTATGCACTTTAGCAATTTCACTGAGTCCATAACAAATGAGCTGGTGGGCTTTCACTGTGCCTTTGGGGGTTTTGACTCTAACTTTTAACAAGTATCGTTTTGTTCTAACTTTGACTGACATTCCCCCAACACCATGAACAACTAATGTTATGTTCTCACCTTCTAGGTTCAACCTTTTAGCTGCTTGATGAGTAATGTAATTGGTATCAGAAGCCAAGTCAATTAAAGTGCCAATTTTCTGGCCTGCATTTGCAGTGACTTCCAACAGCATTAGAATGACAGGTTGCTCCTTTAGTCCATATGACTCCATAAGCCCAGGGACTTCACATTTTGTGTTTCTTGTTGAAGCAGTTACATTTGAAAAGGCTTTTCTGCATTCTTCTGCTAGTTCTGGTGAAAGTCCAGCTATGAATTTCTCCTGCTCTTCTGTTAGTCTATTTTTCCTTCTTGGTTTATCAATCCCAACCCTTGTAAGCTCACCCTTTGGGCAAAGGAGGAAATGGTGATCTGAAAAGCTCCCTTTCTTACAGTCTTTGTTTCTACAAAGGTAAGTGTTGATGCATCCAGCATCCTCTTCATGCTTTCTCAAACACCTTTTGCATGTTTCCAATGTCTTTACAATGTTGAGCTTTTCAGGTACATTCATTTCTTTGAACTGTTTGCAGAAGAATATTTTATCTCCATGTCTTGCGTCTCCACACACAATACAGACATGATTCTTTCTTGTGGATCGAGTAAAAGCATGTCGTTTCTCAACCTTCTTCTCAGTCTTTTCACTCACTCCAAGTTGCTCTAATCTCTCTAGAACTTCCTCCTGTGTTTTTAAAAATTTGAGAAGACTATCAAAATGGTTATCTGGTGTAACTGCATTGGCAGGATTAACCATAAAAACTAGCCAGTCTCTTTTGATAACATCAGGTAGTTTGCTCTCTAGAGATTTAATAACCAGAGGGTTTTTCATGGCTCCAATGTTACCTAGCTCTGTTAAGTCAGCTAGAGCCTTTTCAATTGTTTGTATAAGATCTATCACCTTCCTTGGCTGGTTTGCTTTCAGGGGTGGAGTCTTCTCAAGCTCTTCAATAATTTCTAAAGCAATACTTGACTTGTCGCCATACCTATTTTCCATCACTCGGAACATATCTGCAGCAGTATCATAAGCAGACAGGTGTAATTCACTACAGATCCTTTCATCTACACTATCCAACAACTGAAACTTTTTCACTTCCACTGAGCCACTTGGTTCTCCCTGCTTCTGCAGACTTTCCCAGTCTTTTCTCCATCTGTGAAAGTTTCTTTTACAGCCATGAAATTTTGGTAGACAAATGGGCCTGATCTTTACAATGGGTGCGGGTGGAGCTAGTATAGGTAAAGATGTAAGGTCTGATTGAGCAGCATCTAATTTACTCTTCTCCTCTGCGATCGTTTGTGCTATGGCAAACTGTGATTTTCTTGCTTGAAGTTTATTTTTCATCAATTTAATCTGTTTTATTCTGTCTTCAATATTGTCCCTCTCTTCTACAGGAATCCATATTTCCCAGGTCACAAAACTTTTAATAGATTCCTGGATCACATTCTCCACAAAGGACAGTTGGACTTCATATGCACTTTTGTTCACAGTTAAAACTTTTATGTCAGAAGCATCATTACATGCCTTTTCTGCCTCTTGGATTGCAGTATAGAGCTCATCTTGACCATATTTTTTCCACAAATTAGACTGAACTATTTGTTTGACTTCTTCTAATTTTGATTCACAGTCATCAATAGTCTTTTCCAAATCAGCTTCTTGCCATTTATCAAGTTCACCAGCTTCAACTTCCATCTCTGCTAATAGTCCAGCTTTGTAATCATCATTTGAATCACTTACATGTCTGGCATCAGAGGTTAGCTTTTTGAACTCCTCTCGCAGTTCCATCTCTGTCATGTTGGAAGCTTTTCTGCTCAGGAAGTTTGCTTGCTTGGTGAAGGAAGATTTTGCCATGGTGCGATCCAGCTTCAATTGTTTCAGTGACTTTCCAAACATTTCTTCAGCCATTGTGGATTGTACAGATGAGATGACCTGATGTCCTCCTTGAGTTGATTTGTCAAAGCCCTTTTGTCAGGACTTCACCTTCATCAGGTCTTCAGTTGGTTTCCAACTGGTTTCCAATTGGCTTCCAAGTGGTTTTCCACTGGTTTTCAACTGTCAAGTTTTTGGCCTCTACAAACCACCTTGCCTTCTGCCCAAACTTGAAAAGGGCTTGCTCCCATCAAAGAGACTCAGGACCAACTCATCTCAGTGTCATCTTTTTATTTCTCTTTTCTTTTTCTTCTTTAAATCACTTCAATTTCAAAGACAAGACAACCAAGCAGGTTGAAAACCTACAAATAAACAAAACACAATGAATTAATAAGTTTCCAGTCAATGTTTTTTACTTTTGAGTTATCAATAAATAAGCAAAACAAAGTTAATTCCAAATGCATAAATCCATCTTTGTAAAGCCTGCTAGGTCCTCTGAATGCAGGTTTAATGTTTTAAAGTTCATTTCCTACCAGTGGTGTCTCTGCAGGAGCTTGAAGATGAGGTCTTTGTCTGTAGAGATTGCTCAGAACACAGGTGTGTTGAATTACTTTATAGGCTCCTGAAGGCCTGAGTGAGACAGATGGGTGCGCTTGATTTCTGTGAGGTGCGTACCAGTTGGGTGGAGATGGTATTGCACTCACACCAATACACCATTTGCTGTTTTAACTTGACAATATAACTCAGTATACATAGGCAATAACCAATGTATACTGAGGGGTAGCCAAAAGGGCGTAGGCACCAGAACCTCAGGGTCAATCTACACTGTTCCAACAGGAACCACACAACATCCACATTTCTAAATAAAGGCAAACTATAGTTTCCTACAGCTTTGCTAACAAACAGATGCATATATTTAAACATCTGTCTAGATAAAAGGTATATTGGATAAGATTGTTCGAGGTTTGAGTTCTGGAGCGAACATCTTTTCCATCGTCATTACTTACCTACTTTTATTAATATCATTCTTCATTAAATTTATATTTACAAGTACTAATATCTACATAAATTGATAATTTAATCAGTTTTAATTAAAATAGTTATATACAGTATCTATGATTTCACTGAAAACTCTTAGATGACTTGCAGAGACACATCATTTTCTCTTTAAATCATATAACACAAAATCTAGTTCTGAAAGAGGATGAATTCTGTACTAATAATCTCTAATGTTGGTATATTGATGTGCATAATTAACCACAGTGCTTGTGTTGTCAAGTAATTGGTAACATATATAAAATTTAAATGTTTTGAATATTCTACTTGAGAGAAAAAAATGTAGGGGTGGCCAATGTTTGGATAGGGGTGGCCATGGCCACCCCTGGTCCCCCCATCTAGCTCCGCCTCTGAATGTACTACATTTACCACCATGCAGCACAAATAAATATTATGGGCTTATTATAGTTTGGAGTTGAAAAGGGCATTGGCCATTAATGTTGCTTAAAAGTGGATGATTTTTATTTTTCAATAGGAAGTATAAGGTATAAATGAGCCGATCAGATCTGGGCTCTGAGGCTGTCTGTCCTCTCCCTCCCTCTCATTGGCTGCAGCAGGATGAACTCTATCCCTCCTGCTTTCTCCAACCTCAAATGCAACTGTGCGCACGGAGCTTCGCAGTGGAGCGAGAGAGAAGCAGAGGAGAGGAGGATCTTCACCTGTAGACTTTTTTTGTTTGCGCTTACCTGTCGTTCAGCAGCGTAATACATAAACATGCGGGACTTTTAAAGCAGGCGCTCCGCGTTTGGAATTTTGCATCAGTGCGCAATCGCTAGGAATAACTTTATTTTTGCAGGATATTTATTATTATTTTTTTTTTTTTAGTGCTGGATTGTGAGGGAAATTGTCGTCCTGTGCCTCGATCCGAAGGGAGATTGCTGCATGGAGGGATGTCGGCATGGCTTGCACCAGGAGAACCAAAACTTTGGTGTCCACATGCGTGATCCTGAGTGGCATGACCAACATTGTTTGCCTGCTCTATGTCGGATGGGTTACTAACTACATCGCTAATATTTACATCAAGGTGCCCATGCCTTTAGCGGAGGGACAGTCGCAAGGGGACAAGAAAGGTGATACTCTCCGGATCATGGAGCGACTGGATCGTCTGGAAAACGTGGTGAACCAGCACATCCAGGGTAAGGCTGCTGATATATCGAATTACAACAAGTAAAAAAAAAAAAAAAAAAGGATCAAGAAAGTCGTTTTTATCACCAAGAAGAAGTTTCAGCAAAGTAAGCAACAATGCATTTTCTGTAAAAGTACGCGTAAAGGTGCCCGGGTTTCATAGGGAGCGCACCTATAATGTTTGAAAAAAACAAAGAGATATTAGTCTAGATCAGGCATCCCCAAACTCGGTCCTCGAGGGCCGCTGTCCTGCATGTTTTAGATGTTTCTCTGCTCCAGCACAGCTGATTTTAATTGATAGTTGATTAACAGGCTTTTGCTCTACTGCAATCATTATAATCAGCTGTGCTAAAGCAGCGAAACCTCTAAAACCTACAGGACAGCGGCCCTCGAGGACCGAATTTGGGGATGCCTGGTCTAGATTCTCAGTGGGGATAAAAAAAAAACACCAGCTGGAATAAAAAAAAAAAGAACAAAACTGCTTGATTCTCAAGATTAGATTAGATTATAACCTTGTGAAATACAGATTGGCATATGATTGATCAGGCTGAAATAATTTATGTTTATGCACAGTTTCATTTTCATCAAGAAAAGGGGATTACTATATCATTTGTCGTTGTTTTTTGCAGGCACTAGAAAAATAGATCCATTACTAAATCCAGTTAAATTTTACTCAAAGAAATATTGAAATTTAAATGAAACATATAGAGCTATAACTGTACTTTTCAATAAAGATAAGTTCCTACATGATTACTGAACTTGTCTTCAAATTGAACAAATAAATTTGTTCAAGTCTCCAACAAACAACAACCTGAAAGGTTTATATTAAGAACATCTATCTCTGTTTAGTAGCTGATATTGTGTCAATAACTTTGGTTTTTAGGAATAACTCTTGATCCACATTTAATTTCAGTGTAAAATTAAGATAGTATGATCGATTAGGTACCTGAAAAAAATCTCATGTATTTCAACATAAATGTAGGTCAGTGTTTTTCAAACCTGGTCCTCAAGGCACCCTGCCCTGCATGTTTTAGATGTTTTCCAGCTTTCATACACCTGTTATCAATTGATAGCAGATTATCAGGCTTTGCTGAACTGCAATCATCTGAATCAGGTTTGCTGAACCTCAGAAACATCCAAAACATGCAGAGCAGGGTGCCTTGAGGAACGGGATTGAAAAACACTGATCTAGACCATTTAAGAAACTTTTACACTCAGTTTTCATAGTGACTTGGTCATTGCCAATGCACATTATAGCTTCCCTAATCACTATATAGGGGACTATATAATGGTTACGCCATATTAGATCATCCACCCTAACCCCTAAATCCCTCAATTACTCTATAGGGCGGTGGCTATATAGTGGATTTTATAGTGAACTCAGTTAACTGACCGTTTGGACAGATGATCAATACTTTTCGCTCCCTGTTGGTCACGTGGCCCACGTGACTGTGCCATCTTTATTATTTGTCGCCACTGTCAGGTAGCACCAGCGGACTGCTGTGACAATAGGTATATCTTCTCATATAGTGACCAGGGATGACCACTACTTTTCAAGTCCACTAGTTTTTACTCCACTAGACATACGGACGCTTATCTAAAATGGTGTAACCACTATAGAGTTCCCTATATAGTGATTAGGGTGGACATTCAGACACAGCCCTAATTAATGAAAAAAGTAGTGGACGTAGATTTCCCACAATGCCCCTTGAAAATTTGTGAAGGAAAAGTAGGGATCATATGTCCGAACGGTCAGTTAACGGGGTTCACTATAAAGTCCACTATTTAGTTCCCACTATATGTAGTGATTTAGGGGTTAGGGTGGATGTTTGGACACAGGCAATGTCCATACAATACATTTCTTTATTTATAAGCTAACTACCGGTACTTAAAAGGAGGTTTTTCTGCTCCATGCAAGCTCCTTGGGAGGGATTGCTGTAGAGTCCATGACAAAATGCATGTAGATATCTCCTGTTTCCACATGCTCATCCAGGAGGTGCGTATCCTCTAAGTCAATGACTCGATGCAATCGGCTGGTTTTCCTTAGAGAGAACCCAATCTGACTTTGTGATCTGATTAAATTGTCCCTGTATAGTGCCATAAGATGACATTTGTTGTGAAGCTGCGCTATATAACGAAGCTGAATTAAATTGAATTGAACTACTCTTTCCATTGAGCCGCAACTGCCCAAGGAAAGTGATTGAATTCTACCCTAATCAAATGCATGTAAATTGTTTCCACCGGTTTTTTATGGCCCTTTCTTGGTCCTTGTGGAATGTTGCTCTTTCTTTTCAAAGGTTCTGTCAAACAGAACACATGCCTTGTGTTTTGTTAAATGTTTAATACTTTTTTTTTTAACCACTTACCTATTCTTTTTTATATATTTGAAAGATTTAATCTTAACCAACATTGTTTGAATTCTGCTCCTCTATACTCCTTACAGGAATGCAGGGATTTTTTTAGTGTGCTTGAAATCCTTCACTCTGGTGTGTGTACTTTATGCTTCATCACACCCTGTTAATTTCTCTCTGCTATGCCTCTTTAAAAGAGCTGTTCTCATCATCACGGGTGAAAGAAGGCTCATTTTGTGCAGGTCTCTGGCTGAAATGGTACAGAGCTGTGCAGAACAGAAATCCACTCATGCTTCTTTGAGCAATAAGGCTCTGTGCTCAGCTTGGATAAACATTCCTTCTGGAGGCAGGTCTCCATTTTAGCTTGGCACCAATAGGCATTTGTGGGCGGAGCTCTGTGAAGTGTCCCCAGTGACTTACCTCTAAAGTGTATATATGAGAAGCCTCTATTACTTTGACAAAAATAACTATTTGATGTTAGATTAGTCCTAAAAAATATTAATTTAGCTTTAGCGCTCCTTAACAAAAACTGATATCTGTTTTCTCTTCTTTGTACTGACATTTGAGATTTTGTTCAATTCAAAATATGTGTAAAAACATCCAACTAAAATATATATTGCTGATAAACAACTATTTCACTTTGACCATACACTAATGAGGAGAAAAGGAAATTATCAAAGATAAACACTTGGGAAAGTTTAATAGAGATCTTAGTCAATGTAAGTCTATAAAGGCCTGTCTAGAGGACTCTCCTCTGAAAATGCTACCAAATGTGATGAAATTCATCTGACTTTGCCTTGAGTAAGACTCTAAATGTAAAACAAAGATCCTCAATACCAGACTTACCTGAAGATGTTGGCAGTTTGTAGGAACAGCTCTTATCTGTGCCAGCTGTTGTAAGCAGTTGTTTATGTGAGTTTTACACAAAAGGGAAGCTGTCAGGATAATGCGCCCCTTTATGTCCAGTAGCACTTGTGAGGCTGATTATTTAATGGATTATATAAAGTTGCTGCGCCTAATGCTACGTTCAGACCACGCTGGAAGCAGCAAAAGAGCTTCTGCTGCTTCATTTTTGATGCTTGTACACATTAAGGTCAGACGCACGTCGAGAGCATCCTAGAGGGTCCTGAAGCGCGTACAGTAAAGTGTGTGCATCTGATGCTTCTGCTGCTCCTATGCTTAATGGCAGAGAGCGGCTTTGCTATATTTGCTGTTATAAGTGGATAAAAGTAGTTTATATATGTTTTTAGGTGAGAAAGTCAACCTGAAAATTTCATCTATGCACTCAGGTTATCAAGACTACGATCCTGCCTTCAAATATTATTTCGCTGTCGCCCTCTACTTTTTGTGGTGGCTGGAAGGATTTTTTCATGTACGACCAAACTGCAGGCACCAGAATAATAAAAGCAAACATATTTTGCTGACCGGTTTCAACATTTTTTGTTAATTTAAGCATTAATAAACTGTTTTAGAGGAGTGATCATAGCGATCTGCAACAGCAGCGCTGTGTCTGTCTCCCTGCCAGCTCCCAGATCAGCTTCTCTATTTGTTTAATGTGGATAAAGTTAAAGTTACATTTTTCCAGCTCAAGCAGCTGCTTCTTCCGCAGTGCATCATCCGCCTAAGATGCTTACCCCAGGCTCACACCGACTCCGGTCTTACCGTTGCGGTGCGGTGGGTGCGGCGCCGCAGTGATTCCAAGTCATTAAAAAGACGTAAACCTCTCTCACCGGCTGCTGAGCTGTCCGGCTGCGGTTACCGAGACACCCCGGCGCTGCAGAAAATTCCGCAAGAAAGCTATCCTTGCGGCGTGCCGGAGCCCTCCGCAACAAGCTCTTGCAAAAATCCTTTATTTGGGCCGTGTTATCGCGTGAAGTTACGTGAACTCAAGTGAACTTCTGTTAAATCTCCGGACCTGTTGCCGGAGCCGCAGAGCCGCACCGCACCGTAGTCAAAAGGGCGGTGTGAGAGGGGGTGTGCAGGAGTTGCGGTCTCCGTCGGCTCGGTAACTGCACCGGAGCCAGTGTGAGCAAGGGGTTAGAAGTAGTGAGGCGCTGCTCACACATGCTGCTCCTGCTGCTCACGTGCTGCAGAAACTTTTGCCATGCCTTCATGCGCATCAACCATTGACTTTGCGTGTAAACTAGCTACTTCTGCTGCCTCTAGCGCATGCGGTCTGAACATAGCCAAGCCATTATCTAAAGATAATGCTGGAGTTTTATATTTACGAGTTTTTTTACGAGTGGTGTTTCATCTTAATTGTTTGTCTCAAAATATGGTAGTTGGTGACTATTTCTAATAGATAAGCCATGTTTCTTATGTTTCTCTGATCTTTATGTTGTATGATACAGGAGTATTTAAGAGGAATTAAACAATAAAGACACAAGTGTGGATACAGTACCATCGTTTAATGTTTTCCACATTTGATCCTTTTCTAAAAAAAATATTTTATAACTTTCCAGTTAACAGATTCTCACAGAATTTACTCTTTAACCATAGTTAACGTGGGGCTCTTGCCTGTTTCTCTGATTTTTACCCTATTTGCCCAGTCTGTCAGTTATGTTTTGGTTTGGTTTTTAGTTATGCTATCCATGCTATTCCAGCTTTTAGATGATATGAAGGTCAAGGATGCTAAATACAAATTTGTGTCACACTTTATA